TCAAAATTAATTTTCAAAAATCTAAAGGACATCTTCCATTTCTGAAAATCCCGTCAGAAATCCAACATTTCAAAAATCTTGCGGAAATTTGAAAAAAAAACCCGCCACCACGAGTCGGCAACGAGGATGTTAAATAACACCCAAACGACCCCAACGGTCCTCGAATTCATTTTTACATCCACCTCTGATTTGAAAAGAGGTTAAATCACATTTTGGTCCTTTAACTTTTACACGGACTCTATAATGAGTCCCTCAACTTAAAAAATTCTTGATTTAATTTTTAAAATTTGGTATTTTGGCTTCAACTTGGTCACTTCATTAAAAAATCATTGACTTATCACGTTACTTAATGGAAGAATGATGATACATCAAAACATTAATACACATAAGGATATAGTATGGCAAAAAAATGATGACATGGCAAAAAAAAATTGACATGGTAAAACAATGTTGACATGGCAATAAAACTTAGTTTTTTTTTTTCTCCCTTCCTTTTTCCCTTTCTCTTTCCTCTTCATTTCCTTCACCTTCGAGATAGCACCACCTCCCTATAATTAGATTGCCTTAAACCCTCTCCTCTCACCGACAATGACAACCAATATCGATGTCAACCCTCTCAAAGGCATCATGAACGTCAACTCTCACCTCATGCTCATTGTCTTCCTCGAGCTGAGATGGAACCCCATTGACCCAAACAAATCTAGTAGGCCTTTATCTCAGATCCTAATTGTGCTCCTATTTCCTTTCATGTCTACTCTTGATCCACCTTCATCTTCTTCACCAAACCCTAAATCCAGGTCCTTAAGAAAGCAAAAATTCTTTAAGGAAAATACTCCACTATCGAATCTGAACTCTCATTTGTCTCGACCATCAAGATGAAGAGTTTGCTACATATCTGAACTCTCAATCATCTTTGGCCATCAAGATGAAGAGCATGTTGCAAATCTAAACTCTCAATCGTCTCCTGTTATTAAGATGAAGAGCTTGTTGCAGATCTAAACTCTCAATTGTCTTTAGATATGAACTTTGAAGTCTTTGATGGGATAAGGATGAAAAAAAAAAAGAGTAATAAGGTAAACCAAATCTAGTTTTTCTTGGGTTCTATAACTTTCAATAACCATGAAAAATATAATTAAGAAAAGAATAAAAGAAAAAACAAGTTGCTTTTAGAAGATGTAATTCGATGGGAGTATGTTGATTTGCCAATTTTTAGAGTCAGTGCCATGCTGCTAATTTTGGAATATTATAAGATGAGAGGAAGAAGATGTGGCAAAATTGTTATTTCATATGAGGGCAAAATTATAATTTAGTTTAATAATAAGGACAAAATTATTATTTCATTTGACATGTCATCATTTTTTTGCCATGTTGTGTTAAAGTGTTTTGATGTATCATCGTTCTTCCACCAAGTAACATGCCAAGTTAGTGATTTCTTAATGGAGGGACCAAGTTCTTCCATCAAGTAAATACCAAACTTTAGGGACTAAATCGGAGATTTTTTAAGTTGAGAGACTCACTTGAGGTCCATATGAAAGTTGAGGGACCAAAATGGGATTTAACCTAGAAAAAATTAGGCAAAACGAAAATGGGGGAAGAGAGCAAGTCGACGATCTCTGTTGCAAATGGCGTCAGCCATGAAATATTAATACAAATATATGTTATCTACGTTAACATTATTCATGTAAAAAAAGTTTATTACAAATTTTTTTTTTCAATATCAACTAAAAAACATTAGTATACTATTGTTAATGCAAATACAGTTAAAGGTCTAATTAAGTCCAATCCATTAGTGTCAATGTCTCAAAAAAATTATAAAATTGATAAAAAAAAATAACTAGATGAGTAGTATCTTAGTCTTTATAAATAGATATGGTACTATTGCTTTGTACTCTAATCTTCAAACATGTTTTAGTGGAGTGAGGATCAATAAATTCTTTACCATTTTCACCCAAACTTGTGTTGATACAAATAATTGGTGTTGCCTTCAAAACAAAGATCTGGTTTTTTTGCCTTGCATTTTTATGAAGCTTTTGTTTACTTCTCTTCCTTTCTCTTTTATAAAAGCAATGAGAAGACAATTGTTTATCTTAAATTTCAACCACATTCATTAAAATTTAGTCCCACAAAAGAGACAAAAGGTAAGAAAATCATTTC